ACTGAAAAGTACAGGATTCCCTCTCATCCCTGGATTGGCCTGGGTGGGCTAATCCTGTACACATGGCTCTTAGCTAACTACGGCAGGATGTCCAGTGAAGTACCTTCTTAAGTTTGTCTTTAAGTTCTTGTGGGACTCCACTATCAGCTGAGGCTAGTCTTGATGCCCAAGAATGTACCACCCTGGCAAACACTGAGCCTGTTGTTGACATCTTGATGGAGCAGGCTGAGACTTCGAAGTCTTTGCATAAGGCTTGCTGAAATCCCCTATTGCTGGGTCTTGGGCAACCTATCTGCATCCATAGGGAGAACTGAAGGTCAAGTTAGTCCCAGGTTCGTCCACCATTGGAACCTTGCGTCTCTTAGTAGCCTCTGGTATCAGAGAATAAAGCTTGGGGGGGAAATCTGATGGTTAGTTTTTTGTGTTTTTTGTGTTGTTGTTTTTTTAAGCTATAAAAGGCTGTGGGCAGTTAGAGGCTTGCCATTGCCTGCCTCAGCCTAGCAACCCTGGATTTCCATGGTTGTCTCCCAGCCAAGTACTAACCAGGACTGACCCTGCTTAACTTCTGAGATCTGACAAGTGTGGTCCAGCCTGGGCCATTCAGGTCTGGGCTGGCATCACTGCTTGTGGTACTGCCAGTTTGTACATCATCTGGCCAGATTCCACCAGACGTTCTGGATCAAAATCATCATTTTCCTTAAGTCTGGAGGAAATTCTAAGTACTTGGAAAGGAATCTCAAGTACAGCTCTTGAGGGAATAGCCAGGACTGTACTACTCCCTCTCCTTCCTCTGACCATTCCCATTCTGCCCTATCTGAGGATGGAACTGGGGAGTCTGAGTCCTTCCTGGACTTTTTGCAGCCATCAAGTCACAGCCCACTTATGGTGACCCCCTTGGGCTTTTCAAGCAGGAGATGTTCAGAGATGGTTGGCCTTGCCTGCCTCTGTGTCATGCCTCTGGCATTGTTTGGTGGTCTCCCATCCAAATACGGACCAGGCTGACTGCGCTTATTTGATGAGCTCAGGCTATCCTGAGCTATCCTTGCTGCCTCTGTTTCCTGGTTCTCCATAGAGTCTTGCGGGGACTTTGAAGCTTATGATCTGAATAGATCGGACTTGCTAAGTATAGCCCCCACCCCCCAAAAAAAACCTGTTATAGCCTCTCTCTGGCAAACAGTGGAGGTGGTGGAAGTGCTATCAAGCAGCAGCCTCATATGGTTTTCAAGGCAAGAGACAGCTAGAGCTGGAGAGCCAACCAGGGCTGACCCTGCTTAACTTCCAAGATCTGATCAAACTGGGCTAGCCTGGACCATCCAAGCCAGAGCCTCTGCCCTTGCCTGCCTCAGTGTCATGACCCTGGACTTCCTTGGTGGTCTCCTATCCAAGTACTAATCAGGGCTGACTCTGCTTGGCTTCTGAGATCTCAACAGATGAAACTAGCTTGGGCTATTCAGCTCTGAGAACAGAGAACTGGCAGGTCTGACTGGCAGCCATTTTCTGTTTGCTTGCCTGGGAGTGAAAGTGAAAGTAAGTCTGCAATGAGGCTCCAGATAACCAAGATGGCCACCACCATCTCCCCTGCCCTCCTATGGCCTTCCCTGGGCCTTCTAGCTCCCTGTCTGTTCCATGGGAACTTTCCCTCTGAATGGGAAAAAGGAGGGGGGAAGGTTTCTTTAATCCCCTCCAGCCTGTTCTAGGTTGGGGAGGATGGAAGCCCCAGGAAACAATTTCCTCTTCATCCTCCCTGAATAGCTTGGGGGTTTGCTTGGGGTTTTCCCCCAGTCTACCACCCTGCCCTCCTTCGCCTCCAGTCTAGGTTTTTTGGCCCCGTAAGGGCTTACCATGATTCTGGTAAGGGCTTACCATGATTCTAGAGGCTCCCGGCTTCTCTGTTCCACCGCACACTGGGTCCTCTGAGACTGGGGAGCTTGCTGGGTCTGCAACGCCACACCGGTCTCCTTGCAGACTCAGCCGTTTCCCCTGATGTGCATTGGTTGGGCCCGGTGGGAGTCTGCGTACACAGCCTTGGCTGCTGGGGATCTCCCAGTGCCATTTGCTTCATTTGCGGTTTGCCACCGACTGCAGCTCAAAATAATGAAGAGGGAAGGTCTCTCCCTTCTCTCTCTTCTTCTCATTTCTGGATCGCTGCACTCTACAGAGCACCCATGAAACATGTCTTGCTCAAGCAGCAGGGCCGGTAAGACTGGGATGTTCCCAGTGGACAGGCCCCTCCCCTTCCTGGATTGATCTGAGGAAACTGACCCTGTTCCAGAGGGAGGAGCCTATTCCCAAGAGTAAGGACTGCCCCACTCCCAGGATCACTGGAGAATATTTAGGGAGACTTGAATTATCACTTCAAGCCAAAATCACTATTTACTACAACGTAATGAACAAAACATCTGAATCATTTTCGGTTTAAAATCATTTTACAGCTGCTATGAATACAGCATCTCCTGATAAAAACATTAAATGTCGCAGTGACACATGAACTTCTATTCTGCAATTACTAGTAACAGAAGACCCATTCCAAGCAAAAAGGCAATGCTCCAAAATCTAATGTTTTCATCTTCAGCCTTGGGGTTCAGGAGTAACACCAGCAATAAAATACTTCCCTACTTAATCTGAAGAAAGCCAAAAGTGCAAGTGCAGTGCTATATCTCTAGTAAGCCAGGAATGGTGGTAAGGGCACAAAACATCCCAGAGTTTGCTTACATGTAGCACATAGCTTAGAGATATGAGTTGGAAGGCACAGTAATGCAGGACAGCGGGTAGCACTGACAGGTCTCAGAAAGATCTTAAAGTTAATATGTTATTTGGGAGTCCGTGGTTCTTGCTCAGTTTCCTTATTTAAAACCTCAAAACCTGGAGCTGTGGGTCATCTCTACTATTTAGGCTAATATATGGTACATCGGAATGAGGCTGTTGGCAAGCTAGTGGTCATTATCAGAGATAATGCTCCTGTGGTCCATGCATGATGCTGACATAACCTCTGAGACACAGAATTTAACAATCCAGTGACAACACCTTCACCTATTGTTGTTTGCAGACTGAGCCACTAGGTAACAGTACACATCTATCTTCATGAATGAGACGATTTCTGGACTAAAGGATAAAACCCTTATACTTGAAATACTGTTGTTTGTATTTGAACAGAAGCATGCAGAATCTCTTCCCATGTTATTTAATATTTTATCAGCTGAAGCATCTAAGTGGTACCTAAAACCACTAATACAAAGAGAAACCTAATACATACTGTAGGGTTTTTTAAATTGAAGCTTGATACACATTTCTTCGAACATATTAATTTTGCTTATTCAAATTATAAACTTGAAGCAGAAGTTAAGATTTACTAAATTATAGAATATTAATTATGAAAGCTTTTTGTGCATGCAAAGTGGAATACAAAAAAGTATCAGAAACATATACAGCACACATAGCTCCATAACTCCTATAGCCAAGAAAAGCACTGGGAAAAATATACTCATCTAGACCAACCTTTTTTCCTCTGATTATTAGTTTGAGTCTCATCTTCGCTAACATTTTCTCCAGGAGCATCTTGAGTTATTTCCAGGTTTTCCTTGATTTTGTTGTTATTTTTCTTTTCATTCTTCTCTTCCTTCTCCTTCTTGATTGGTGCTTTTTTATTCTGATGATTTATATTTTTACACTGTAATAAAAGAGTAAAAATTATGGAGTTGGACCAGCTTGTTCAAATACTAGCATTATTTTTTACAACAAAGGTTTACAAAAACTGGAGATCCATGTTTTTTCTGCTTCCAATTTTCTACCACTGCTACCCCTTTTCAACTTTATTACATCCGAAGAACTGACTTGCACCACAGGTCAAGAGGAAAAGCTTAAAATTAAAACAGGAAATGGCAGGTACTCAAAACTCCAGGATGTCAGCCACCACATATCTTAAGAAAATGACATAAAAACTACCTTACAAATTAAGAAAATAACTTTCTACTTGGAATGTGAGAAAAGTTTTACATCAAAAGTCTGCTTCTACAAAGAGTTCTGCAGTTGGCAGGCCTGAAACCAACAGACAGATCAACAGAGTGAAGCAGGGGAATGTATCTATATAGCTGAACAGCTCAAGCAAAAATCTTATTCCAAAGCAGAGGTTCAAGTAGCATATAATCCAAAAAATAAATCCAGAAAAACAAGCAGCAAAAAAGTATGTGTCATGTGCCATGTGAAGTATCCCACAGTTGCAAAAAAATGGGGGGTCTGAAGCCAGACAGGTAACACAAAGCAGGACTGAGAATAGCAGAGCACTGCATTCACAGCACATAGCAAGGCAAAGTAGTGGTACATGAGCACAATTTGGGAAAAGATTCTAGCTTCAATCTCACCTGCAAGGAGTGACTTGGTGGCAGAGACTACCGCACCATATGATGGTTACTATGTGCACTGGGAGAAGGAATACTTCAGCCTGAAGTATTTCTCTGCAAGCCTCTACATTGCCTTTGCATCTGCCCCAGAACCAAAGTTACTATTACCCTATTTTCCTGAAAGGAAGATGATCCTGAATATAAGACCATCTCTCTAAAAAAAGAAATTATAAATAAAGTTTTTCTTTTATCATACATGACTGTAACCTGTATGCAAACTGAATTCATCTCCCACTTTTTCTTGCTAGCACATGTGCAAAAAGCTTAGTAACTATGTTTTCAAGGTAAACAGAGCTACACACACCAGTTGTTTCTTCCCAGTTGTGCTCTGAAAAGGTCAAAATATATAATTATTCCCAGTCAATAAGAAGTGGCCATCTATTCAATAACATTTTGTAATTTCAATTTAACCTTCAAGAAAGCAAGTTTGACTTCATTACAAAGCAGCTATCCCAGTACTTCTGGAACTGACTCTTCTTCTACCTCTTCCTCCTCTTATCTGCTGCTTTTAGCTGCCAGCTTCCCTGCCACCATGACAGACATAAACCTGTTCCCTTCCCCAGCCCTTTGAACACTGAAGAGACCACTGCAATCCAATTGTGCTGCTCTTTTCAGCAGGGGAAACAACATTGTGATGGTACTGCTGAGGAAACAGGAAATCAGGCAGGTAAGCAGAATGTTGAAAAGAACAATGTTCAATTTCTTATTGCCTATTTGTGCAGGACAAGTGCAACATGTGCCCCAGGGAAATGACGAATTGCTCCTCTATTGAAAAGAATTTATTTTCAAAGTATGCTTACTTCAGAGTTTGCAATTTCACTTGGTGTTGGCCAGTTTGTTGCATCACTGAAATCATTAGCCTGCAATGATAATAAAAGTTCATTATCCAGATTCAGTTCTGTGAGCACACAGAAAAGTACCCACTTCTGACACCAGGATTATTAGTCTTATTTATTTAGATATTTATACAACATTTTTCCCCAACAGGAACTCAAAGTGGCTTACAACATTATTATCCCCATCTCCATTTTATCTTAACGACCACTCGGTGAGGCAGGTTAGGATGAGAGACAGTCACTATCCCAAAGTCATGGAGCAAGCTCCCATGGGCAGAGTGGAGATTTGAACCTGAGTCTCCCAGATCCTAGTCCAACACGCTAAGCACTACACTACACTGGCTTTTGTGGCAGTGGTATTGCACCACACAATTTTTAGAAACTATTCTTCACAAATTTTAATGAACAAAACAGCAAAACAAATGTAGTAAGGTAGTCAACAATTCCTAGTGTTGTACTTACTTGAAAAAACAGTATAAAAAGAGTCACTGCCTATCTCAACACCTGTGTGGCCTACAGACCATTTAGTTTCCTAACAGCCCAAGCCTGCATTTTAAAAAGGCTGAAAATGCTACTACAAGGACAGCAATTTGAAGCAGTTTCTTATAACAGTATATGCATTGATCAACTTTAGAAGCAGGTTTTGTCTCTGCTTGGCTATTCTGCATATGCCTTGCAAAACTGCACAAACATTTCACAGAAACTCATTAACGTGAGCCATCCTCCTGCATCTGAACTATATATGCTTCACTTTAGCTAAGCAGTACAATTATTAGGGCAACAACTTTAGGGCTTGAGCCCTGTAGTCTTTTTCATACTAAAAAAGTCAACTGACTGTACGGGGTTTGAGAGAATGTGTCTCCCACAATCCACCCACAAACCTCCATGTTTTTCATGGAGGTTCATGAGGTTTGTGGGAGACATGCCCTTGGGCTCCAAAGGCATTTAAATGCCTTCGGAGCCCATCTCTGGGTCGGACCGGCCCGACTGAGCTCTGAGAGTGAGCTCCGAAGGCCTTTAAGGTGGCCCAATTCAACTGAGCTCCCATAGTGAGTTCCAAAGGCCTATAAAGGACTTTGGAGCTCACTCTTGGAGCTCTGTCAGGCCAGGCCAACCTGGAGGTGGACTCCAAAGGCATTTAAATGCCTTTGGCGCTCACTTCCATTCAGGCGGCCCGATCCGGAAGTAAGCTCCAAAGGCATTTAAATGCCTTAGGAGCTCACCTCTGGGTGGGCCAAACTCCCCAAACCACGAACCAGTTTGTGTAATGGAGGAGTTCATTGGTGGTTTGTGATTAAGGATCTGTGAAAATTCTGAACCACAAACCTCAATTTCCCCACATTGTGCCCCCCCTAGTCTGTACACATAGAACAAAAAAAATTCACAACAATTTACATTCCATACTATATCACTAAGTAATTATAGTGTATGTTATCAAATTGGTAAATTAAGTACCCAAAAGTCCAATTAACAAGTTTTACACCCAATATAGTACCTTGGTAGATTTCTTTGTCTCTGGTTTTCCTGCTTTTATGACTTTAGCAGAACTTTGCAACTCTAAAAGAAATAGTAAGAAAATGATTGATACCCAAGATAGGAATAGTGCACAAAATAATGCCACAATAAATACATTGCTCTGTAATGTGCCACAAGACTCTTTGTTGTTTTGACTGTAACACACTAACACAGTTACTCCTTTGGAATTGGTCAGAAAATAAACATTTTAAGTACTCTATGCTAATATTATACCTCAAGAGCGACAACTGAAACCTGTTTAGGGGGGGAAACAAATCAAATGTGATTTAAATAAACAAATTCAGAGCTTTATGTGGAAACTGTATTGGAATAATACTCATAAAAATTTAAGGATAGTATAGCATGTACTTCCCTTATACAGTTTAAATTTTTTTTAAACTGAATGTACTAAAAACTGTTGATTCACTAATTTTGACGCACCTAAAGAAATGTATGTGAAATGCCATGGTTGTCCACTCAGTTATTTCAACAGAACTTAAATATCTCCTATGGAGGACACTGGGAAACCTTAGTTTCACTGTAACACTCTGTAGCATCAATTACACTAGATGTTACCAGACTGGTATCTTACAATATCCCTTCCACCATGTGAGATGACACATATAAATGAGAATTTTAGCTTTGGTTTTGATTTGACCTACAATCAAATCAGCTACATTCATAACTTAATTTTTAGTTGGATTAATATATGTATTGGTGGTTCTATTCCTCCCTCTGTATATAAATAAACAAAAGATATGTACTGTCACTATTCCTAGGTAATAAGAGTTTTCTTAACTGCCAAGCTTTCCTATGGAAAGGGCAATGGCATGTATTCATTATAAATTCCCTATAACAATGAAACTTTAGAAACAAATTTCCCAACCTATCTCTGTTCAGACACAACAGCAGCAAGTCACTCCCATGAAGACTGCAGATGATTTTTTAAAAATCAACATTACGGACAGTAATCTAAATGGCATAAAATGGCAAGATCCCATATCAATATACAATTTATTTGAAGGCTAATCTTTATGAAACCTTCAAAATAAGTTTGTTAGGAACAAAGTAAAAAAATCCCCTTTAATCTTAAATATAGACATTAGTCTCAAGCAACAAAGAATGGCCCCAGTTTGGTGTAGTGGTTAAGAGAGAGGACTCTAATCTGGAAGAACCAGGTTTGATTCCCCACTCCTCCTCATATAGCTGCTGGTGTGACCTTGGGTCAGTCATAAATTCTTACAGAGCTGTTCTCTTAAGGACAGTTCTCAGGGAGAGCCCTCTCAGCCCCACCTACCTCACAGGGTGTCTGTTGTGGGGAGGGGAAGGGAAAGGAATTGTAAACCGCTCTGAGGCTCCTTCAGGTAGTGAAGGGTGGGGTATAAATCCAATCTCTCCTCCTCTGAAATGGGCAAACATTTTGCTTTAAAGCGATTATTTACACAGTGTACTCCCTTCATATCTGTTGCACAGACAGAGTGAAAGAGCACAACATTGACAACATTGCTCAGTTTTTTCATCCAGTTTTTACCCAGTTTCCCTTATCCCACCTTTCAAATGATAGGGTCTTGTCCAATTCCCACCCCCACCCCCCACCAACCCAGATCAGAGGGAATAAAGCCAAGCTCTTGTGAAGTTGAAATACACAAATATAACATGATATGTGAATACATTTTGAAGACACTGATGTTTGCATGCAAGATTTTGCTTTCTGAACATTTGTAAAAAAAATCCAACTTATATCCACCTCCCAAATTCAGCCATCGAATTGAAGTATGTGCTGAAATATGGGTTTATGTCCTTATGGCCTTTACAAAAACTAGAAAGCATAAAGTTTTGGAAATACCATTTTTGGAATATGAATATATGCAATATCCAAAATAAAAACATGGATGTAGTATAATTGCTATAATGGTCAGTTTTATAGTCCAAACTTTGTACTAAAGACTTATCACAGGTAGATGCTAAAAAGGCACCAGAAAAACGGTCATCTTTCACTGACCTTGTATATATGAAAGCATCTTTTGCATACCACAGGGATTTAACTTTATGGCAAGTATCTCAAGAAATGCTTTAAAAACTCAAAAAGCATATTATATCGCCTAAAGGTAAAGGATTCCCTGGCTCGAAAGCCAGTCGAACCCGACTCTAGGGTTGCGGTGCTCATCTCCATTTCCAAGCTGAAGAGCCAGCGCTGTCCAAAGATGTTTCCGTGGTCATGTGGCCGACATGACTAAACGCCAAGGCACACGGAACGCTGTCACCTTCCCACCAAAGCGGTACCTATTTATCTACTTGCAATTTCTTGCTTTCAAACTGCTAGGTTGGCAGGAGCTGGAACCAGAGACGGGAGCTCACTCCATCATCTGGCACTCAGGTCTCGAACTTCCAGCCTGCAGTTCAGCGTTTTAACCACTTGAGCCATATCACCTACAACATACCCTTGCTTGAAGGCTAGTCGAATCCGACTCTAGGGCATGGTGCTCATCTCCATTTCCAAGCCAAAGAGTCAGCGTTGTCCGAAGACATTTCCATGGTCATGTGGCCAGCATGACTAAACACCTAGGCGCATGGAATGCTGTTACCTTCCCACCAAAGCGGTACCAATTTATCTACTTGCAATTTCTTGCTTTCGAACTGCTAGGTTAGCAGGAGCTGGGGCCAGAGACGGGAGCTCACTCTGTCACGCAGCACTAGGGTCTCAAACTGCCAAACTATAGACTTTCCGATCTGCAGCTCAGCATCTTAACCTCTGAGCCACCGCCGGCCCCTACAACATTTAAAAACACTGTCAATTTAAATTATTCCAGAGCTTCATGTTGTATTAGTCAATCCAGACAAATACTTAATGAATTTCCTTCCCTCAGAATACTTCCTCATGCACCCTAACCAACTCTGAATAATACCTCGTAATTCAATACAAAAAGGAAGTTCACAAAACTGACATTAAAAATGGTCACCTGTATCTATTATTTCATAACTTTTTAAAGCTGTGCACAACTTTACTATTGATAATATCATCTGTGTACTGTTGACAAAGCATACAGAAACAGAAAAATCTCTACAAACCATTTTCTGGGTTACCAAATTCAGTTCCATTTCAGAAACAGCATCATTCATATGTGCAGGACATGTATCCTGGTTAGTTTCCACAACAGCCATAATGGGAACAACTGAGTGTCCCTCGCTCACTGCCACCACCTTTTCATTCTAACTAAATCAATGATCTTAATGCAGGCTACTACCCCCCCCCCAGTGAGGCAATCCACACAACTTGGTGGGCATTAACCTTGGGGGGGGGGAGTTGGGTATTTGGAACACTACTTCCACTTGCAATGACCTGACAGCTAACGGAACTATTTTACACTGCTAGCCCCACCCTGAAGATAATATTCTAGATTTCTCCCCAAAGGCAGTGTTCCCCCTAAAGTTTGCACATGAGCAGCCGCTCATTAACACAGAAAGACCTGCTCAGCAGCAATCTGGAGCCAGGCAGGGCCTTGCATTGCCCATTGCCCATTTTAAGATTACAGCAGTTGTATTCTGCTCAGGATGTGAACTCTTCAGTTCAGTAGGGGGAGAAATTGAGAGAACATTGCCCAAAGCCCTTCAAAAGTGGCACATACCAACCAGGAAACAAGCATAACTTTAAGGAATGGGCTGAGAGCCATCAAGTACAAGGGTCTCACTGAACATATGCTTGAATACTGTGTATGGTATACATACATACAAGATAAATATAACACTAAGAGATTGACTTGTCAAAGAGTGTTGTTTTTATTTCCTAATTTTTTTGGAGGGACCAATTTAATGATAATGATGCATAGCTGGTGGATAGTAGTGGAGGTTTTGTTTAAAAGCATAATCCGTGGATAAAGCCGGTTCGATACCTTTCCTAAAATTTCCAATTATTTCCTAATCTCTTTGAACTCTCAAATAAAAACTGGCCGCGTTGCCTTCCAGGCACACCGCAGTCCAATAAGAGTTGGCTTTCGCAGCCGCTTCGCTCTCGTCTTCTTTCCCATAAAACAATTCCGAGACAGGGCCACGCCTCTTTCATGCTCATTTTCCTAATCTGAGCATGTATGCAACAAGGGAGACTTCAGGCGGCACTCCGGGAACTCCCAGGCACAGGCTGGTTGGACAAGCAAGCACACGCCTCACTCCGTAGCCAAGTCACTTGGGGTCGTAGAAGCTGCTGCAGCAGCGGAGCGAGCAGGGAAAGAAATTTGAGCTCGAGCGGCTGCCTCAGCCGCGCAAGGGGCCGCCGTCCTCCCACCACGCCCCTCAAAGCACCGCCGCCCCTGTATGACGACTCTCACTCGCGCACACGCACCCCTCTCCTCACCCGGATCCTGCAAGGCAACCTCGCTACCGGTAGAGGCGCTGGAGGGTGACAAGCTGCTGCCGGAGGCAGGGGGAGGTTTCCAACGGCTCCAGGGGTTCTCCTTGGGCGGGGGGGCCTCGACCAGGGGAGCCTGCGGCTGGGGCCGCCCCCGTTGTGGCCACTTGTGGTGGTCCTCTTCGTCGTCGTCCTCTTGCTGCTGTTGCCCCTCGCCGGAGCCGCTCTCGCTCACCACCTGGCCAGAAGGAAAGAGGCGCTGCTCCTGGCGGCTCTCTTCGGGCGGCCGGGCCCCCCCAGTCTTCTCCGCTCCGCGAAGTGGTGGCTGGGGGGCGGCCGCCGCGGACATGCCGAGTGGGGGCCTCGCCGCTGGCCTCCGCACCCCTCCCCCGCC